CCCAGACGCAGACTGGAGCACCTCCCACTCTCTGGATGATCCTCGCAGCTCGAGGGAGAACCCCTACATCTGCTCTATATATCTAATGGAATGTGTGGTTGACTTGTGGGATGAAGGAAAGAGATAACTAAGAAATAATCAGACAAGAGAGGCAGGAACCCTAATTGATTAACATCAGAGCAAAACAATTTAGGAAGAACCTGTCCTAATTGTTCAGTCAGTTATAAGTGCCAGTGGGAAGTTTGTACCTTCAGACTGAAAGATTCGGTTAATGTAGCCTTAGTCACACATCTAATTTCTGACTGGTTAACCCAGGAGAGCTAATATCATAGTTGAGATTCTCTCAAGGAAATTTGGGAGCATATAGAGGAATGCAGGATGGGACAGAATAAGGCAATTACCATTGCATGAGCAGAAGTTGGCTTCTGGTCATAATGGCATAATGTAGGCCGTTACGCATATATACAGTACTAGTTGTAATCAGATAAGCCTATTGGGAAGATTACAGGATTTCTTAAGGTAATGATCTTCCTTTAGCCAGAAATAGTCCAATGATAAGCATTTGTTGGAGTTGTAATTCAAAATACTTGGAAGGTACAAGCTGCCAAACTGACTGAGTTGAAGAAGCTGCTGAAGCCATCTGGAATGGCTCGTCTTCAGCTGTATTAAGGCTACAGTTATGATCATTAATCCATATAATCTTATCAATATCATGAGGGTTGGGCTCCTGGATGCTAGAGTAGCCCTTACAGATCCTTGAAACTGGAAGGATAGAATCCCAAGATACTTTTTTTTTTAACCATACCAACCAGTATCTCCCAGATGCAGCAGCAGCATCAATTTTGAAAGTGTGAGCATTATTTTAGTAAATGTGACATTATTGTGTTCTTGAGATTCTGAAGCATCAAGCTGAGGCCCCTCACTTCTTTCTCCACAGAGGGAGTTCTGATAAGATAAGCAGAACATATAAGAAACATAAATGTGGACACACTGGGATCCAAAGCATTCCACAATGTATGTGAATTTTTTTAAACTTTCGATTTCCAAACATTAGAGGTGCTGAAAAGTTGTGACGTGCTTTGGGGGTTGTAAAGATATTTCGGTTACTTTAATATAATTTAGATGTGCTTGGTAAGTAACTATATAAATACCATAACTTTTCTGTTTGTTTCATAAGGACTGTCATTACTTTGATGAATTTTCTAGTTGTTGAGGCCAATCTAAAGACAGTGCTTTGAACTGAAACTCCCTATATGAAATCTGAGGCCTATGATTAGTCCACTCAAAATAACTAACAACACAAAGAAAAAAAAATCTGTTATATACCAGTTATATATTAAATATCAGTTAAATATTAAAAAGGCTGGTAAAAAGAAAAGCTTGCATTTCTTCCCTAAAAGTAGAAAACATGGGAGCTGAGTGCAACTGCAGAGGGGTGGAGTAACACACAAAAATACATCCCCTTCCGCATGTGCCACAGGGAAAAAACCCTCAAAAAGTGGAGGCAACTTGAGGATGGTCTTTAATGACTAGGCATGTTTATAGCAAAATCTATCTCAGACAGCCAGACTCCAAGCTATTTAGGATTTTGCAGTAAAAACAATCCCTTAAATTATGCCCAGAAAATAACTGGCTATCTCTGCAAGACTTTTAATATCACCTAGCATTGTGCACTGTGTAGAAGCTTGGCCACTGATTTTTGGATTGAAATTCAAGACACTCATTATGGGCAGCTCCATGAAGACCATATTGCAGTTGTCATGGTGGAATCTGTTTGTGACTTGAAAAAGAGACTTTCTTTAAAAGCTAAATTATTTTGGCCTGTGAATTACCCAGAAATAAGGGTGCACTTGTGTAATGGCAGAAAGTGAATGACATTTTATAAATATACATATTTCATTCTTCTTTTCCATATCAGATTGTAGGCTCTAGTAATCATATCTTTTTATTTCAGTAGCTACAGAAGCTATTTCCGATCCATGTATGCCACTGCGCTTTTAGGAACATGTCCAATAGAGTCTCACAAATATCCATATTTTTGCAAATATCAAACTAAAGAGTGATGCTTATTAATATATGATTGTGATCTAATCTGAAATTCTATTTATAAAAAATATTACAGTGGAATTTGTACCTGTGCCTCAGATTACAGTCTCATGATAGCATAATAAAACAGAGCAAGCGTATTTGTTTAGGTCAATTATAGTATTTGTAATACATATGTTAACAATGAATAAACATCAAAAATAGAAAATATTATTGGAGATAGTCTATTCCAACCCACTCGTCAATTGAAAAATCGGCAGGGTATAAGGGCAACCTCCCCAATTGTTCAAATCTTTGCTGAAATGGAAGCAATCATCTTCCAAAATAATTCAGCTGTAAAAATCTGGGAGAAGGGGGAATGCAAGCATCTTTACCTCCAAATGCTAAGCATGTTATGCCGCCATCTGTGTGATCTACATTTACTAAACTTGAACTTAAATATAAAGGAACCCAGAGTAACAGTTGCATAGAAGAAGTCATTGTTCCAAAACTTTCCTTTACCTTCTTAAGTACCAGGACTACATTCAGGTTTCACACTCTGTTAGCATCCTGGAGATATAATAATCCAATAGGGAGTTTCCTTGGGAGGTAGAGGTAGTTTGCAAGAAGCAAAATTCAAACTGACCAATCAGTGATATGGATACCATGGGTTTTGGGTGATTTCTACACCACTAGTCTAGAATAAGGTTGATGGAGGAAAATTATATTTGCTTGTAAATTCACAATATTTTTTGTCCAAAGTCACCTTGCGGTGAGATGGCAGCAAACAAATTGAATAAATAGTCTTTGACTGCAATCATAATCTAAAAAGTGGGGAGGATTGTCTGCATCCCTTCCAAAAGCTCTTTCAGAAATTTCTAATATTTAGCTGAAATCTGGAAGCTTAGAATTTCAGTGCAGTGCTTTTAATCCTATCATTCCATGCCCCATATTTACAAATCTCAGGCCATTTCTGCATCAGAGTTTTACATGTAGAGACATTTTTTCATTTGATCTTCACCAAACATAACACATATACTCTTTCAACAGATATATGAATCGCTTTTCGAAACATAAACATGTTATAATCATGAGTACTTTTATCTGGATGCGCCCCAGTTTGTCATCCACAATTAGTGATACAGTATAAGGGTACCTTACAATGTTACATCCATTATTGGACACAGCACTCTAAAGGTATCCTAATCAGCACAGTGTAAAACAACTTTTAATCTTGTGATTCGAATATTATTCATTTATCAAACTACCTATAAGAGTGTTAATTGGTGCAATATCATAGATGTAAACTGTGCATTTAATTTTAACCTTCCAACAATTTCTTGTATAAAAAAAGGTCTTCAGTAAACAATTTCAAATATATTGGCTATACCATGAAAATATACCACACTCAGTGTTACTGGTTAACAGATTATGAGGAAAGGTATGGGCCTTCTATAAACACTGACAAGAATCCCCTTCCACATTTTAGAAAAAAACAGTATGTCCGTCCCTTTATTAAAACACATAAGAAAAAAGAAACTAACATAAAAAGCAAAGAAGGCAAATGCCACTAACATTGGGGGCGGGAGAGCAAGGAGGAATTATTCAGATGACAACTCCATTGTAAAATATTAACCTGTAACAGAACTTCCAATCACAAACAATAGGTCTGAAACAAATCAGGTAAATCCAGGTCAAATAAGAGATGTAACTATATTTGAGCTGTAAATCACTTGAGTCTAAGAACGGACTCCCAAGAGAAAAGTCTAATTTGGCTATTCATTAACTCCCCCACCATTGCCTGCAAACACAATAATTATTTTTGTTAGTAGCTTTAGCTACATTTCTTTCTCCTCAACAAAGGCATGCACATAAACATTAGAAAAGATGAAGGGTGGAAGATCTTTAGCACAAACAATATTTTGTTACAGTAATATCATGAATAGCATGATATAGCAGAATTTGAAATCCACCCTAATATAAATTTACAGATATCCCACCAGTTTTAGTAGTTTGTATGGTGCTTGTTAAAATTACAGCCTTGAAAAGATTTACTACCTACCCTCAGTCATTGCCTCCACTGCAAGAGGAGAGCAGGCATTGGTTTATGGTGACAAAACAAAAAAACAAAAACAGAAAATAGCACTTTTCCCCACTAGCACATTTTATTAAGGGGCACAAGCTTTTGTAAACTGCAACACACTTCATTAGATGCTGCATGGCTGGACTCTTTAGGGAGGTGGGGGGGGGGGTTGAACAAAGGAAGACAGGATGCAGGTAGGTCGAATCCCTTAAGAATCGTACAGCTTCAAAAACAAAACAAAACCCTATAGCTTTTTGAGACCTTCTGAGACTGTCTGAAACCTTTTGATGCGAATTCAACAATTTCTCTCTCTCCATGTTAAAATCCCAATGCTTGTCCAAAACAGTCTTCAGTCGGACTCCCTTTTATATGCACAAAGCAGAAGAGGGTCTCCTCTACTCTTTCCTTTCCAAATCTTTTACAAGGCGTTTGCCCTGGGCTTCATTCAATGACCAGAGATCGACAATCGCTAGGTGTCCTTTCCCCTTTCCTTCTGCATTGAATCCCCACCCGCTTCTCGAAAAAGCTCCATCACACCCCGAAGGGCAGAGGAAGCATGTAACCTATAGAAGAGACGGTCTTTATCTGATCGGGTAACGAAGCATCTGCAAACCGCCAAGCCCAGAGAGCCCAAGGACTCCAGAGGAACATGTACCTGCAAGGCATTTCCCTCCTAGGGGGCCTGGGAATACCTAACTGCGCTGTCGTGGGGGAGGCGGAAACATCCAGGCCACGCGAAGGGACGTCGGTTGCCACCCCAAGCGAGGGGTCTTCCAGATGGCCGCCCTGATTATTACGGATTAAGGGCTCGACTGGGGAGAGCCGTGTATTGGAATATTCCCGCGGAAGTCCCCCATGGCGAGAAGAAGGGGTGTTTGTTTGTTTGTTTTACCTCTTGTCTTCCCCGAATGAGTTCAAACACAAGGCACGCAGGGCGAGGAAGGACGGACGAGTCAGCCTTGAAGAAACGGAACAAGCGTTTCCCACACCCCACAGCGACTCTCACGACGCAACCTGGAACGTACCTTACAGGGAGACACCGCGAAGGTGATGTTCAGCCAGCACCAGCAGCATGTATAGAAAAAGAGAGAGAGAGACAGAGAGAGACAGCGAGACAGACACAGAGAGAGAACTGCGCAGGCGTACTGCGCCCCAATGCGCGTCTCCCCGGCTGGCGCGCAACCGCACTTCTTGGTCAGCCTTTACAGAAGAAAGGGCAGGCTTGGGTTGAAAGGGGAAGCGGTCCTCAGGGCGAGACGAGGGTGGGTCGATGGGAAGATGAGAAAGTCTGGCTTCGCACTGAACGGCGATATAGACTAGTATAGACGACACGACGGCTCACGTGTTGTTTTAGGGATGAGGCGACCCGGGTTCACAAACTCGTTCTCGCTGGGTGATTTTAGGCTAGTCCTTTATTTTCTGCACAAGTTACTTCTTAGGAGGGGATTTGTAAAGAGCAAGATAGAGATAATCGAGAGGTGGGAGAGATAAGATCTTGAGGTGTTTAAGGAAAAATGCATATAAGTAAAATTACTACGTTAATGGAGGTGGGGATAGATGGATTATGGTGCTGTGCAAAGGAGTTAGTATTAGCTTAGCTAGGGGAGCTAGGTTACTGTTGTAGTTATTATAACATCCCAAATGGGCTTCCACGACCTTCTAGAATATGCTTCAAATTCTTCAGAGCAAATAAGAAATCAAAAATATAGGTTTCCATACTACTGGAAGATTGTTACGCAAGAGCAAGTGGAATTTTTTTTTATAGACACCCCCCAAATTAAGGCTTTTGTTTTTATTTTATGCTGTTCAAATAGTAATGAAACAAACTGGCCCCTCCCAGGTCTAAATACTTTATATTAATTAACCTAATAAATTAACTACAGTGTAGCGTAAAGGAGTTTTTATTTAATTCATAGCCAAATATATTAACCTATCCACATACTGTTCAAAATGAAGCTTCTGACTACATTTGCTTGCAATAATTGACAAGGATAGGAATGCCAATTAAAAAGTCAAATAGATAAAAATAGAAGATAAATATATACTGAGTAAATATACTGGTTTTGAATTTAGTTGTGGTTTCAGTTGACTAATATAGTCAACTTGGTAAGAAATGCATTGGACTATTATTAAGAGATCAAGTACACTATTTTAACAAATGTTTAAAATTGTCTTCTGAAATTATACATTTATTTTTAAATGATATTAATATGTAGATCTGTAGACTAAAAACAGTAATTTAATTTAAAGGAGAACACTCTGATTGATAATACAGGCCATTTTCAGTTATAGTCTACTTTTTTACAATCATAATAGATCTGCCTGCTAACCAGTAGTTAACTCTTGTGTGGCAATTTATTTAAATGCATTTTAAATACATGGTCTGGGAGCTGAGGGTATGTCAAATTGTAGGATGCTTTATGTCTGCAAAGTAATAGAAGAAAGGTCATTTATTTATTTATTTAGCGTATGTCTTACAATGTTAGGAAAATCTACAAATACTAGACATAATGCAGTCCTGACAGCCTTCATTTTTAGCTCATTCTGTTCAGCACTTGTATGCCTATCCTTGGTGCACTAAAGGGAGCAAACTAGCTTACACCAGCTGACTAGCAGAGGTCACGGTTGTTGGCTCTTCTTCCAGGCTCCTCCATCAGTCTTGCCTTGCCTCATGTTATGTTGCCTTGGGTCCAGCCAGATCCAGTGCCAGTTTCTGCTTTCTGCACACATCCGAATGCAGCAAATTTTTCCCATCAAAGTGATACCCATTTTTTTATTTGCAGTATTGCTTGCTTTCAAACTGCTGGGCAGGCAGGAGCTAGGGTACAGGTGACAGGAGCTCACCCTGTCTCATGGAGCTGGCCTCAAGCCGCTAGAGTGCAGATCATTTCTAGTCAGCAGTTTCAGCATCATTAAGTCACTGCACCACCACATCCCCAGGTCAGATATATTCCCCATACAGACTTTATATTAGCATATTTCAGAATATAAATAAATATAAATAATATGAAATATATAAAATAATATAATATAAAGGATATAAAGAAAATAAGATTAGAATTGAATCAAGTTTTATAATTGGTTTATTTTCTATAGTTAAACTAAATTTAAACAATTATGAATTTTTTAGTATCAATTTCAGCCTTCCTGAAACAAGTTTTCTCAAATATGGCCAATGTGAAGAGTACTTCTGCTATGTATATTATTGTAACCCAGTTGGTAATCCAACGTGATGAATCTAATTACCTATTGGAAAAGATAAATATAATGTATAGCTAACGGGAAACAATTATAAAAACTATTCATATTACCTGCGTGTATGTTATGGATTGCTACTAAAACTGGCAAAATTAATTAATAAAATATCACTTGTAAAGAGCTATATATAATTTAGTTCAAATAGAATAAGGAATATTTATACTTGCTGTTCTTTTTAATTTTAATTTTTACGTTGATCAACTGGGCAGGTCTTTCAGATTACAATCTGGGAAACTGTTAGAGCTAGGCCCTTCCTGGGTGGTTAAAACTGCTTGGGAGGTGACTTGCAGTAGGATCCATTAGCTTCTTTGAGAAATGGGTGGTCCCTGTGACTCTGAAGGACACAACAGCATGTTCCTTCTTTAAGAAGCTATCATTCTGAACAATTGTCCAGTTTCCGATCTTTGTTTTTAGGGAAGTTGTGATGCAACAATTCCAGAGTATCCTGAAGGAAATAGATGATATGGAGCAATTCTTGTTGGGTTCAGGCCAGGACACAGTACAGAGCTAGCATTGATCATGCTTTTTTGATCAGCATAAATGCAGCTGCTTCTTGTACATGGTTCCTACCTGACATAATATTCCCCAAAGATCCATATAGTCTGTTTTGTATGGTTTTTTCAGATGCACATCATCTGTTCTTTTATTTTTCTGGCTTTGTTTTGTAAAAAGGTCCAGAATTGGGTGTTCTTTAAATCTATGTATATATGTACAAATCTATGTGAATAAATAAATTTACTTTAAAATTATTTACAGTATTGCACCTGGCTCTCCTTGGATGATTCCAAAATGATATTAAATTTATTAGGGTTCAATTAAAAATAGCCCCGGATATCTATAACTTTAGTTTAAATGATAAACTAATTTGCTATATACATCTGCTGTTAGCATGTAAGAAACTCATTTTGTATAAATCTTTCAATATTGAATATCAACAATGTAATTTATATGTTCCTGTGAAATGCCAAGCTTGACAGCAGTTTCTCTTTAAGTGATCTGTCACTTAAACTGTTCATCAACCTTTCCCATGTAAAATTTGTTAGTTACTGTCACAGGTAACATTCTTGATCATACAAACAAGCCCTTCCAGGTCCACCATCTTTCCATTTTTTGACCTAGCAATGCACAGTACTTAACATCTACATAGACATTAGATAAACTACATGATTCAGCAGAAAATTTCAATTTGAGGGATTCTTTTGGCAGCCAAAATTCAATCATGGTACAATGCTTAAAGCACATTGGTCAATATTTACTGCAGACTTCCATTTCACAAATAATACAACCTTTTTTCACAATAGTTTCTTCCCAACTCAAGTAAAAGAAAGATGCTCCACTGAGCCGAAGGGAGAATCCAGGATAAGATGGATAGATTCTAGTCTCTTAGCTCTGCAGACTGAGTTGAAAAACTGAGGACACACCCCCTGGTAACAGTCCCTAGTTCTTCACTTGGTTTCAGCGTGTTCAGACCACCCTTTAAGGGCTCTAAATAGTTAAGATTGTAGAAGAATCTTCACCCCTGGATTGAGCTTTTTTCCTTGAGGCTTAAATCGGGTTTGACAGCTAGCCGGCTTGCCAGTTTTGCACTTTCATTTTTTCACGACTTTTTTCCGGTTCGTGTTTTTTTGCTTATTATTTTATTTTTTTAAACTTTATTTGCTGGTGGACTGGTTTTTTTCTGTTTTTTGTTGGAATTTGGGTGGAGGTGACCCTGTGAGCCCATGTGGCCCTGGCTGGGGGCAGGAATCGGCGTCTTATTCAACTTGCTTCTCCCAATCCACTTTCCCTTGATTTGGGCTAGCCGCAACTGCCGCTAAGTGCTTCTGTCCCTTTTCGGCGTTGGCGGCCATTTCTCTCATTTTGGGGACAATCTTGCAGTTCATCTCCAGGAATGTCCCTTGGAGGGGGGTTCTTGTCATTGGGATTTAATCCTGACCCTAACCAGTCCCCAGAGCACTGTGGCAACTACTCGAGTCTGCCAGATAATTACGGTGCAGCCAGTGCTAGGCTCGCAAGCTTCTGACCTGTCAGGGCTTGCTGCAATTCAAAGAATCAGCTGTTTTTTTCACCTTTTTTTTCTCTGACTCGGATTTTGAATTGTGGAGCTGGCCTGAGCTGGGCTAGTGCGACTTTGGGTGAAGTGGTAGACAGCTACTGTGGCTGAAGCAGACAGCATTAGGCTAAATAATTTTTCTTTACTTATTTTTCCCTTTCTCTCTCCCTGTCAGTGACTGTTAATTTTGGGGGCTCAAAATGGCCATCATGTTCTAATTCAGTTATGGATTATATCTTACATCTCTATATAAATTTAGTTAATTCAAACTAATTACTTTATATAAATTAAAAACAATTCATCTTACTTTCTCAGTGTATATTTTGATTAAAAGACATACCAATTCCAGTATGCTTATTCTGTTGACTGCATATTATTTCTATTTTTGATATGCATTGGAGTACGTAATACAAAAAATGAATTATTTGAAAAATCTCTATTAAAACCATTGTCCCAGTCTGACTTCTGGAACTAGTCAGATTACATTTATTTCTTTAGACTTGCTGTGTTTGCAAATAAAAGCTAAACTTCCCTAAAGGATTCAAATAGTAATAAGTGGGACAGTCACAATATGGAAAGGTGAGATATAAGTAAAACAAGTGGTTCATGGATACATCTACCCAGCCAACCTCTTTTCCCCTTTCCACCTCTTCCCTACTCTTGTGCAGGATTAAAATATATTCCAATAACATCTACTGCTAGAT